AGAGAGCGGCAACAACTCAATAGCGCAACTCAACACAGTGTTACCCGGGCCTAACTTTTAAGAGCAAAAATTAAATTTAGAGCAAGGAAAGTGAAAATGTAATGCAAACTCTGATGAATAAGGCTGAGCAAATTGCCGATTTCCATAGGTGAAGATTTTTTGGACATACTCAATCGAGATATTTCTCCAGTACTTACAGAGTTTCCTCCCTCGATAAGGCGGAAAAAGTTCCGATTGAACTGGACATGTTCAAAACAACTGAAAACCGATTACAAATTAGGCATAGTTAAAGAAGATCGCTAAATCATTCTTCGACTTAAGCAGCTTTAATGCGAAAGGAGCCTTTCCCAAGAGAATAACAATAGAGACCACTTTACCAATTCCGGCGGTTTGGGCTCAAATTTGCCAAATTTGCAGCATCGGTAGGCGGCAATTAAATAATTGCATTGCTTAAAGTTCGGAACTGGCCGATTATCATGTCTAAGAGCGCGAAAATGCCAAAGGATGCGTAACAGAAACAAAACGGAATAAATTACCGAATTGCCCTTGTTAGGCGGTTTCTTGCAAATTCGAACTGAAACCTGATTAGTCCAACGATCATCAACTTTTCCGTCGTTCAGATTCACAACGAGCACAACGAGAACAATATCGCAATCTCGCCTTACGGAGCGTTCAGCGTATTGGCGGCGCTCAGCGAAGGCCTAGAAGGGGCGGCAGCGCTCGAAGTCCTCCATGCCGCCCACATTCCGAAGGAGAAAAGCATTATTCGGATCGGCCTGCGGGATATTCACCGGCATCTAAAGGTGACCCCGAAAAACTCGCCTAACTTTGACTTAACTGGCTCTTGTTGTGGTTTAGAGCTACTTTATCCCCGAGGAAGGCTTCCTGGCCGGGCTCACCTTGAACTTAAACAACGTCAGCTTGAAGAGCGACTACGAAGAGGTGTTGCGCTTCTACGGCTTCGATTACAGCTCTTTCAACAACGCTCTCTATCCAGAACCGCCCACCACCAAGAAGGAACCTCCCGCCGAAGGAACCACCTTGGAAACGGGATTGGGGGTATCCGAAGGTATCTGGCTGGCGTTGGTTTATCTAGATATCTGAACCTAAAACATTCAAGCAGAAGCTACCACAGCCACCAACAGGCCAGCTGAAGAAGCGACAGTGACTGTTGAAGCAGAAACAACAACAGCTAGATCAACAACTACCGAAGCCACAGTGTCAACCACAATGGAAAATCAGGTCACAACAGGAAAAGGTAACTACTGGGTCCTTTTTACTGCCGGGTCACATTTATCCGATCCGACTCCGATCATACAATCGGACGAAGATCTGAGAGCAAAATGGTACTGGACCATAGAGAAAGTAAAAAATATATATTATTTTACTTACTCTATGTACTGGACTTTCAACGCCGTAGTTCACATCTTTCCGCTACCTGCCCAATCCGTCTCCGTTTTTGTATCCGATCATGTTCCGATTTTGCTGGCTCGATGGGTATTTGCTATCCGATTGTCGGAAGGAAAAACGGTCCGCATTTTAGGTTGCGTCAGTGATACATTTGGTTTTTAATGGACAATTATCTACAGTAAGCTGTAGATATTTAAATACTTTGATGGGGCTTACAGAATTTTACTGATAGAAAACAAACTCAATTATTAATAATGTGCATGATTCGTCGCAAGTATTAATTGTACATACTTTCCTGACTGTGTTTCAACTCCAAATCAAAATTCATTCCTGGGTTTCAGTCTATTTATCAATTAAAATACGTTTCGGTGTATTTTTCCACCATCATCAGTTTTTCTAAAATGTGATTGTTTTTTAAATTAATGAATTTTTTTTTAACTATCTGTTATTTTAGAAAAACTGATTATGGTGGAAAATTACACCGAAACGTATTTTAATTGATAAATAGAGACAATAAATGACTGAAACCCAGGAATTAATGTTGATTTGCAAGTATTAATTTATATTACTGTTTACACAGCAACTATATGTAAGAACTCTGGCAAGGAATATTGGAAAAATAACTACTAAAGTGTACCTTGTAAACTGTTCATGGAAATTAATTTACTACTTTTAATTAAGCCCCTCATTTTGTAGACATTTGTATTCTCTACAAATCATCTCGTTGGGCATTCCGATTACTCCATTAGTATATAATATTATAAACAAAAAGACAAAAATCGCATCGCTTTGAATTTTGGGCAATAAATTGTTAATAACGAACATATGGACCGGAAATACGAGTGGAAAACAAATCCCTATTAATCGGATTATCATCTTTTATATAATCGCTCAATTAGTTTGCTACTAGTCTTTTTGTCAGGTTAAATCATTTTTAAATATCATGTTAGTTTGCTTTGCATTCGGCAAGCGATAGTTTCCTAAAAGAGCCTAAAAACATAAAACAAAAGTCTTAAATCTAGTTCGGCTTTCACTTTTCGATATTCAAAGTAAACCATCCGAGTGTCTATATGAAAAACGGTAGAGCCAATTAATACATTTGGACTTAGTCTTATCGGAGCCGGATCGGATAGATGTGACTCGGCCTTTAAGCGTAAAATATTGAATCCTCGTCTAAATAGGCAATAATCCAGCTGCAGAAGAACCGACGTCTTCAACAGAAGCCCCAACTACCATCGCGGTTGAAACCACTACAAGAGCAGAGGAAACAAGCGCTTCACCAGCCGCAACCACTACTGAAGGACCAATCACGGAGCCTCCTACTACAGTGGCAGCTGCAACTGCATCAGTAGTAACCTCTTCAGAAACCACAATAGTGCAAATACTGGAGACGCAAAGCTCCACGGATAAAAACAGTGAATTCCACAGCACCTCGTTCAAGGAAACTATTTCGACGAGTTTTTCTTCGCATTCGACTAGCGAATCTACCGATAACACCGGCAAAGACTCAACCGACGCAGCCGTGACTGTCTCAACCACTGAAACAGTCGGTGCAGACTCTGCAACTGAAGCCACTACGATGTTAACCGGAAATACTCTTCGTACCACTCGAGATGCCACCTTTCAGTCTGAAGATCCGGATATTCCCTCAGCCACTGAGGTGGCAACCACAACAATCACGGAAGTGGTTAATGAGCCTGCAGAAGAACCTTTCTTGACTACAACTCTAGAGATCCCCAGCAGCAGCGACGCTGCTGAAGAGATGGCAACATCCACTGTAGCCCCAATAGCTACAGAGCCAACTTTTCTCAGTGTGATCGATATGGGAAACGAAATTGCTGCTACGTCGATGAGCGCTGAGTTTTCCGACGCCCCTGAGACTACGACGCAAGTTTTCGCAGCTACTGACCTCAACTACAACTACGAAGCTGCAGAAGCTTATGAAGACAACGCTCCGATGAGCGACGGGGCAGGAGAGGAGTTGAACCCAAGCCTCAAGAGAAGCGCCCGATCAGTGGTGGATTACGTGATTGCAAGGTAGGAAACTGTCTTTTTCGTGTCAAAGCAATATCGTCTTAAGCCTGTGTTCCATGCATCCGTTTATGCGATGATGCGATGATACGAAAGGGTTTCTATTGGTTGGAGCAGGATCAACCAGGTGATTTTTTTTGAGTTGCAAAATCCACTTGAACATGACGCTGCGTTTTTCGAAGTTTTTCAAGAACCATTCGAGCCACAGAATTTGTTTTGGCATCGTTGGATAGAGAATTGAAAAGTCGTTTCAGTCGTAACAACGTGAGTGAGGAAATTCGAGTAGTTTTGACTCAGAAAGGGAAATTTGGATATCAGACACTTAGGTGCAAGATTATGCAAAAATTTCATGTTTTCCGTCCCGTTTTTGCGCATATCTCGGAGGCAAAATGAGCAAGAACGCTCATTTGTACATCATTCTAGACAGAAATAAATGGCCTTTTTAGAAAGTGAGCCATGGATGGGGAAATGTTGGCAGTTTTCTCAAAAAATGCTTGAATTCAAGAAGTTTTGAATTTGCGTTGTTTTTTTTTGAGCTGCAAAATCCACTTGAACATGACGCTGCTTTTTTCAAAGTTTCTCAAGAACCATTCGAGCCACAGAATTCGTTTTGGCATCGTTGGATAGAGAAT